ACCATAACAGCGGTGATCACTTGTATAACATACGGTAATAATTACACTGGTTATATTACTAGAAATGTTGGCACGTCGGTGACCGTTGACTGACAGCTGATTCTGTCGACAGGAACATCCTGTGACAGGAGCATCAGCCTCTCATATCATATCCATCTTTTGGTCGAAATGGATGTTCTGCTCTGCACAGAAGTCCCGTGTTAGAGGGATGCAATTAAGGTACTCGCATACCTTGCACTCGTATATGGGCGTGACATAGAAGAGTATTATTAGTGCTGTGAGCATCACCACCACGGCCACCAGACACACCCAGATGAGCAGCACCTTCCGCCGCTTGTCGTACGGACCGAATGACACAAACGGCAGCAGTGCGTAAGAGAGCAGGAACCCGAAGATGAAGCCAAATATGTGAGCATAATTATCTACCCACGGTAAGAGCCCCACCAAGAAGAGCGTCAATGTCATGACCACCAGTTTGCCTAAAACCCTCCAAGGATTTCTCATCATCTGCCATGAGTTGATGAATTCCACAAACACACATGCCAGCAGCCCAAACTGGGAGCCTGAAGGACCCACTTCTGCCCGGTAGGGGACAAAGATGGCTGACGCTAGGTTGCCCGCGATGCCTGACACCACGTAGATGACCCCAATGCGCACCGGTCCTGCCAGCTTCTCCATGTCTCTCATCAGGTAGTATTGTAACACTACTGTGATAAGCAGGTGGAGAACTCTGTAAAAATAACAGTCATTAATGAACTATCACCTCAGAGGTTTAGGGGCTTCTCCCTCTTATTCTAGCTCTCAAAAAAGAAAAAAAAAAAGAAAAAAAAAAAGGACAAATCCTGTTTAAAAACTTAAAGGAATACATATGCTAAATTACCATAAAATCTAGACCATAGTTGTAAAGAAAAAAAAAAAGAAGAAAAAAAAAAAGAAGAAAAAAAAAAAGAGTTTGGTCGTTAATCCATGTTTCTCACCCATTGATACCTCAGGAGGCCTTACCCTGCATGAATAAATAAAGATGTCCACAATCTATAAAACTGGTCTGGAACATCTGGGTTGTGGAACGGTATCATACCGCACACGTTGTTCAAGCAGGAGACCTGATGACAAGAAACAAGCCTCAGTTAAGTTCCATGGCCATTTGAAAGGCCTTAGGTTAAGTCAGACACTTACATGTTCAATTCTTAATTTCTATAAAATCTTCCCTTAGGGGGATAAATGTTTAGAATTTCATATATTCTTGTTGAAAGATAATATAGCAGAATCTGTAACAGCTGTATGACAAATCTTATAAAAGAAAACACTTAAGTTCCACGACCATTTGAAAGGTCTTAGGCTAAGTCAAACAATTTCCAGTTTTTACATTCTATAAAAACTTTCCTTGGGGGGATAAAAGTTTAGAATTTCTTATATTCTTGTGGAAAGATAATGTAGCAGAATCAGTAACAGCTGTATGACAAATATTATAAAAGAAAACTAAAGCTTTCAGGGGCTTGGTGAATATTTCAGAGCAAGACAGAGACTGAATAGTTTATGATAATTGCCCATTCTTCATGTTCAGCTATTGCACAGGCATCAGAGGTGAAGTGATAATCCTCTCTATATTTCAACCTATGGAAAAAGGAGGAGGAGGAGGAGGAGGAGGAGGAGGAGGAGGAGGAGGAGGAGGAGATTTCTCAGGGAGAGAGGGCAGGTGTGCTAAAATATTTATCTAATATATATTTCTTCTCTATACAAAAAACGTTTTATGTGATAATATCAAGAATTATTAGAATACATTAACTACTCATAATATCTTTAAAATCTGTTTCACCTACCTGACACAGGCAAAAACAAAAACAAAAACACACACACACACACACAGATATCCCAGTTCAAAATTTTGCTTAGACTTTACTAAAGCATAATCTATTTTCCTTACGCTTTAACCCAATGGCGCCGGGTGTACAAAAGAAAAAAAAAAACTCTACGCTTAAACAAACAAAGGCGGCACGCTGACTTTGAGCGCGTGAGTAGGGGACATCAGCCCGAATCACTGGCTCGCCGCGCTTTGGCGCGCCGCCGGCTCGTTTGGCTGCACACCAGCTTTCGAGCTCTTTGTTTACACGCCGATCGGCGTCACCCGGCGGCAAGGGGTTAAGAATCACACATTAATTATATATTTTATTACCAACTCAAATCCCATGAGATGCCTTTGCTGCAACTCGTCCCTCTATGTTATTCTTTGCAAAAAATAAATCAATAAGAAGAAGAAGAAGAAGAAGAAGAAGAAGAAAAAAAAGGCAGGACAAGTAGGTAAGCCTTCCTACTGTATTTCACCCAGCACCAAGACCTTATTCCTGAATTCACTGGCTATCTACCTGAGAGCAAAGCGTAGCCTCTTCATGGAAGTAGCCGCGCACAAAATTACAGTACTCGCGTGTGGTCATGCGGCACTCCCCATGGATGCCGATGCAGCAAGGGTGGCCAATGACCTCACAAGCCATGTGTTCCGCCGCATGGATCTTCTTGAGGCCTGCAATTCTTTTCCGGCAGATGGGCCAGCGCGTTATGTCGTCCGGCCACTCATGCGGGGGAACTGATGCCGGCTCCTTGCAGTAGCTGTGAACAAGAGATTCTTGTGTAACTTTTGCAGTTAGCAGTGGCAGCCTGGAAGGAATATTAGCAAATACCCGGTCATGCAGCCAGACACTCTCAGGGAGTGTTCATTCTCACTAACAGTGAGGGAAGGGAAGGATTAATCATTAAGTCATGAATACAAATTACTGTTCAGAGCCTGATTAATATCACTGCGCATGACAATAATCACAGAAGTGAGGTCAGGGAATGAGTTACATTACCAAGAGTCACACTTGTCTTTTTGTGATGCTCCTTATCACAGCCATTATGGGACTAAATATTGTGTCATATGAGATATGCAGAACATCCAGCATATTAACATTAAATAGACTGAAAAAAGGGCACAATTTCACGTGAATAAAAATGAAGTAAGACAACAGAGACAAAAAGCTCAAATCTTGTCATAAATAAAAAGAAAAAAGAAAAAAAAAAAGCTTTCACATATTTGTAGACTTGAAAATAAGCTTCTCTATCTTAATGTAGTAAACATTTAGCTTCTTAAGGAAATTTTAAATCATGTTGTCTATGTGAAAATGTTTCTAAACTGTGTGCACACAATAAACAATTATTTCATCTGACCAAGTTATGACGGAAAATTGCATGCAACGTACTTGGGATCCTGGCCACAAACAGAGCCCGAGAGGCGTCCATCTGGCCCCTTGGCCAACTCACTCCACTTCTTCCACACAGACAAGCGATTCTGAAAATAAGCAGCATGTAAGAAGAAATTGAAGATCATGAATGAAATATCATACAAGTAATGTATTGTTTGTTTTTTTTTGTTTTTTTTTTTTCCTTTTTTTTTTTCCAAACTCACTCAACCCTCTAAACTGAAAGCCAAAGTAGTGTAGTAGGGTGGGAAGATGAAGGATAAATTCTTATCTTTTACAATATATGAGAGATATCTATTTTATCATCAGTCTCAAGAACATGAAGTTACTGCTAATAAGAATGGGTAGGCACAGTGGGTTCTATGCAACATGCATTACCTGTAAAAATTTTATGTAAGGAATTATCAATGTGCTGCAACAACAATAATAATAATAATAATAATAATAATAATAATAATAATAATAATAATGTAACAGTAATAAAAACAAAAAATATGCTGTTAAATCTCATTTTACATATTGCAGCTACAGATGACATAGACTGTCACTACCATTACATGTCATGAAAACATCATGCACTTTCAATTCTGATTCTGACAGTCTCATTACCATACACACATTACACACCCGAAGTGTGCACAAAGACCTCCAAGATATGTTACCACTCTTGCTCTATGAGGATCTTTATCTCATGCTACACCATTAGCATTAACTGTAGTCAAGGATTAAGATACTCTAAGGGGCAAAATGACTACTATCATTTTCTAGAACTCTCAACATTATGCCATTTTTGACAGGTACATGCCTTCCAAACTGAGTACCTGTAACATACAATGTGCTGCACAAATCATTGGATGCAAATGATGTCTCTGCTAAGTCATGTTCATTGACATCATAATGTAACTAAAAAAAGTTATAACAGATGTCATGCTCAGCCTTTATAGCAATGCAGTACAACCAACAATTTTGCATGGCACTATTGTTTCCAAGTCATAGATCTATCTATAAATCTTGAGTATCACCTGCTTAATTGTAAAATCTAAGCATACCAAAAGCAGAGGTAAAACACAGGTAGTTCACACTTATAAACTATCATATCAAGCAGTACAAAACCAATCTTTGTAAAAAAAAATCAAAATAATATATTTAATAAAAATTACCATTGTTTTCATACATAACAAACTGGTAATTAACATTCTCTCTTATAAGGCTACCTACCACCATTTAAATCTGTTTATTTGTAAGATATTACATCTTCCTATTTCTCCCTACTGTGTTGCTGTTTTTTCCCCTAATTCCTTCTTTGCAAAAAACTGGAAAGTTCAACCTCTTATAAAGATGGCTTTCAGGAAATACAAATAAATTCCCTTAAAAAATGGTAAGCTTCTTGTAGCTAGTGTGCCATGAAAAGATGCCTTTGTATCAATTAGGCCCTACAAATGTTTAGTTACTCGAAAACAGCAATCCATTTAATGCATGTGCTGTATTCATATCAAACTCAAGCCTAACAGTGGCAAACTGAAACTCTTCCTCTAAAATAAGTAAAAACCTTATTGCAAGTTATTCTGTGAAGCACTGCCAGTCAAAGAGCAGCCTATGCACTGCAGAGGCTCATGAGCCACTATTCCAGCTGAGAAAATACCCTCAAGTGATACTCAATCCCAATATACACGTTTTTTAAGTCCAACAGAGCACAACTGTTTCCTACCAGTCTGTCTTATCCATAACAACAGCAGTGGCCTTACAATCTATCCAATATGATATTCA